ACATACTTTGGGATGTCAGGAAGGGTTTAGGATTTAGGTCGGGGTGAATCTTCCAGATGGCTCCAGCTCAGCTTGTCTCCGTCTGATACTCTGGAGTCGTCGTTCACGCTGCGTCGAGGACCCTGTGGTCCGACTAGCCAAGCACCCAGTTAAAAAGGTGAGTATGGCAACAAAAGCTCCTCTCCTCCTGGCAAACACTGACTTTGCTTGTCCCCCTCTGCTCTGCACGCGATGATAGAGGGCAGCTAGTTCAGAGTCTTGCTCAGCCAAGAATAGTCCCATGAGTACGCGTAGCGTCGCTGTGAAACACAAGTGAGTGGCAGTGTGCAGCACAGTGAACGCTATCTTCTGGGCTGAGATCAGTTGAAACCTGCCCTGGGCACTAGTCATCTGCTGAAACAGTCACATTAAAGGATCCTCCACTACACCCCTCCTTCTCCAAGCCAAGTCACCCCACTAAGGCCTTATGGAGGGGTCTATTTAGACAGAAGCATTGGGGCACTTGCCTAACCCCTAACACTTGCAAGCATTGAACCCAGAGCTATCAAGGAAAGAAATTGACACAAATGATTCTCTGCTGGTTTACGTGAACTACAATCTATATGTGCACATCTCTCCGTCAAGATCCTGAGGCCTCAACACGATGGTTTTGGGTCAGCATTACATTGTCTCAACGGTTTTCTAAATGTCTGAAACCATCTGGTTTAGGGTTTAGAGACATGAGACTTCGCGAGGGAATACGTCTGGGGTTGTTCTGAATCACTCTGGGGAACCCATCATCATGCTTAGCCCTAAACCTCAATCCTAAACCCTAAACCCGAATTCCTGAACCCTGAACCCGAATTCCTAAAGCCTGATCCCTACGTCCTAAAGCCTACACCTTAAATCCTAAAGCCAATTCTTTTGGCAGCGGTTTCATAGACACTTGGAAGCTAAAACGGTTTCGCAGGCCTAGAGCACGAAAAGAAAATCCCCAAACATGTGGCTTTAACAGTCGCTGGCGTGGGCATTTTGAAAGAGAGGCGGGGAGGTTGTTCCGAAGTACACTCCTATCAAGACTACGAGGACTCCACCCAATTTTTCCATACTCAAAACACCATTGAAACACACCTCCTCTCCTCTCTCCCTCTCCCTCTCCCCCTCCGCTCTCCTCTAAACCCTAAACCCTCTCCCCCTGCCCCCTTTCTCACTCGATGCCCCGCTCTAGACTTCCACATGTACACCTGGCCTCTTGAACTCGCAAAGTATCTGCAACGACACCAGCCAGGCCTTTCAGGAGTTGCCGACACCTAGGGATCCAAATAAACCGAAGTAGGTGCCAAGTATATATATATATATGTATATATATATACATACGTATATGTATATGAAGTTTACGGCCTAAGGGAGGATATTCTTAGCTCCCCAGGGAAAAATCCCGATTTTGGAGTAGATAAGGCTTCAGGATTCGGGCTATAGAGTTGAGGAACATGGGGGTCGGGTTTATTATAAACCCTAAGCTGGCTCTAAACCCTAAGTATCCAACATCTCCGTTGGTTAGGAATATGGGGGTCGGGCTTACTGTAACCCCCAAACCCTAAGTATCCAGCATCTCCATAGGGCGGATGGAACAATCCTTGTGGGCGGGCAAAAACTATTTTGGTGCTGCAGGGGGTCAGGCAATGGATTCGGAGTTTATGGTTTAGGGAGCATAGTGGTGGGGATTCAGGGCAAAAGGCCTCTAAAGCAAAATTACATACATGGCGGGCTCTCAAATTCAAACTCCCATCATAAGATCAAACAACCCTCAGCAAATCTCACATTCGAATTCACATTAGATCCATCGCGGCCCGGAACAGTAACACTGGCATCCAAGTAGCACAGGCTGTGGATAACTCTACCTTGCAACTGAACCCGAAAACCCGATATTATACTATTTCTACTATTACCCAAAGGGTCCAAGGACCCAAAGAATGGGGCTTTAGGGCCCAAATACCATTCACATTATAGTATTTGGGCCCGAAAACACTAGTATTTGGGTTCTTGGACCCTTAGGGTTATTAATAGTTTACTACTATTATTGCTATTACTACTTGTATTACGATTATTACAAATAATGTTCGGAACCGAGATTCAGCGATGGCAACGCAGGTTGCAGATTGTGTGAGCTTTTCAAACCAGACGCAGGGGCGTGAACGATCAGACTCTACATTTTTGGCAGTCCCTGTGTATAGCCAAAGCTGGTAACAAAAAACAGTTCAAGCGCCCATCAGGGGTTCACCTGGGAGCCTGCACAGCCATAAACAATACCTTTGTAGATTAGGGCCCTACTCGGGGATTGACTGCTTGGGCAACACCAATTCAGTCCTGGTTGTTCGGATTCACGGCTAGGTTTCCTGAACCATCCAAGTCTCAAGTGCAGTGAATACCGCAATCTAGGAAACGCAAGACCTAGATCCGCTGTCAAAATGTTCCAAGCACGTGCCCCTGAACGAGGAGACGTACTGAGTATGGCCGCAACCTGAATAATTACCCCAAATGGTCCAAAGTACCAATATGGTACAAAGTATGGTTTCTGTAGTAGTAATTTCCCTTATGGTTTGGGTAAGTATTCCCCATATGGGTACTTAGGACCCTTTGAGTACCAATTCTAGCACCTTATGACCCTGGTATAACTACAGCATCATGTGTTCAAAGCTGCCTCCTTCCTGGCACCAGACTGTTAACGCACAACCCTAGCACAATGCCTACTTTGGGCCATGAAGTCAATCCACAAGACCTACTGTGGGATGTTTGGATCCCGAAGCTAGGTTGGCCCCTAAAACCGATTGAAAAATATTAGTATGTATGGTCCCCTATTAAAGCCATTAGGGAAAATATTAAATATCCCAGGGGCCTACCCTAAACCCTAAACCCTTAAACCCTAACCAGGGGCCTACCCAGGAAGGTAGGCCCTATATCCCCGAAGAATCGCCTTCACAGAGTCGCTGGCGTATGCCACTGCCCGCAGAGTTCGCTCGTCCGCCTTGACTTGGGGGAGGGCTACGGCTATGGAAGTGAGGAGAAGTTACCCCAAGACCCTAGACCCTAAAGTCCCCCTTAAGTAGATAGAATATGGTTTTGGGTATATTATAATAAGATCCCCATATACCCCATATTCTATCTACTTCAGGGGGACCATAAACTCTAAAGCTTCGTCTAGAGTCAAAAGTTGCATGCGCCTGAGGATTGTTGACAACCTTTCGCATGTAATACACAGGTGGCTTGCTGTGTGATAAGTCCTGATGCGGTGCAAGGACTGTGCGCTTCTTTCTGGTGATGAAGAAGAGGGCCGGGGGTAATGGAGACACTGTACGTAAAATAATAGCCCAAAACCATTAAAACTAGCCCAAATGGCCATTATTCTGGGGCTCAGTTAGGGACTTTAAAGAAAATGATCATCAGGATCCACCCCCAACTACCCTGAAGAACTGGCTTTGTGCGGTACATTCGCTGCATTGCCTTCACACGAGATGGATTATTTACCAGCTATCCGCTTCAATACGGAAACTAGGTTGGCCCTAAAACCCATTGAAAAATCTTAGTATCTATGGTCTCCTATTAAGCCATTATGGAAAATAGTAAATATCCCAGGGGCCTACCCAGGAGAACGACCCTGGCTAATCGGAACTGGTCATTTGGCAAAGCGAGCCATAAATACAGGACCCAAATAATAGGGCTTTAGGGCCCAAATATTTGTATATTAATGGTATTTTGGGCCCTAAAGCCCCACTATTTGGGTCCTTGGACCCTTAGGGATAGGTGCACAAGGAACCTAGGGGATCTCTTGATCTCGAAAACACCTTCAATCCTAAAGAAAGATGGAAGTCCCAGCCAGTAATAATGCTTATGAAGGGAGGGATTGGTGTGTAGAAGCCTAACTGAAAGGTAGAAGGCTACATGTCTCAGGCTTAAGATTTTGGATTTAAGGTCTAGGGTTTGCGGTTCAAAGTTTAGGGTTGGGAAATTGAAAACCAGGGACGAGTTGGAGGTAAGTGGTGTGCCTGAGTAATCGTTTCAGAAACCTGAATAAGCATCTGCATTCCTCTTCCCCTAGAATCCTGGCATGAACAAAGTATAATGTACCACAAATGACAAACCATACTCCAAAATTCCTAGGCCCTGCTGCCAGATAAACACCCATAGTTGACTATGTAAACCCAGTTAGTTTCCATGTTTTCTTCAATTTGTATCCCCCCTTAGTTCTAGCTGATCAGGCCCCTACTGCTAAACCCAAAGCTATATAAACCCTGAAGTCTAAACTCTAAGCTCTAAGCCCTAGACCCTACGCCCTAAACCCCTGAAACTCTGAAGCCTAGCATGAAGCTTGGTATCCTTTTCCCACAAACGCAATATGGTGCTGCTGGGACCAATCCTTCGCCACCAGCTACCATTGCAAGTGGGTCAGCTCTTAGGTAGGTCGAGTACGAAACGGGAACATGAGATATACAAAAGCAACTACCATACCGTGACTGCCATTACTGCTAGTACTATTACTATTCTAAACCCTAAACCCTAAACCCTAAACCTATTCCTACATTTGAGTACCTAGTTGCAACTTGGAGTTCTCTCTACCTAGGTCGGCTCTCAGTCAAGAAAGCCCACCAGCTGCGGCAAAGCTAGTCCGAATGGGATTCCAAGGACTCGGCTACTGGGTTGGCCTCTAAAACCAGTTGGAAAATTGTCATCTTTTGGGTCTCCTGCTTTAAAGCTAAGAGGGCAAACATTGCATCCCAGAGGCCTACCCAGGTTAAGGCACCTCAAACAACAAACTGGAGGATCCATGCGGCATGGCCGCATCGTCCCAGATGTCCAGAAAGCCTCATCCCGGAAACAGGACCTTTTGCAGATGCGCTTGACTTAGACAATCATCTGCGCCTTGTCCTTTGCCTTGCAGTTGTCACCACCCTCGTGGCAGTGAACCTGAGTAGCTTTTTTTGTTGGTTAAACCCAGTAAGATTATATTCCTTATACCACCCACCCTAAACCCTAAACCCTAAACCCCAGTGCACCTGGTTCTTCTTCTCCGCGGCGGTGAAGCTACCCGGCACAGCCCAGGAGCACTGGTCCTCCAAGAGGAGCGCACCCTTGGCCACCCTGAAGTAACCCATCCTGAGTTGCTGTTAAGGAACTTACTACGTGGGACTTAGGACCCCAATTAAGGGTGAACCCTTAGGCTTAGGTACATATAATGGGAATATAAGGGAACCCCAAAAGGGTTAAGGGTCTAAGGTCCAAGCTAAGTCCCAAGGAGCTTAATTTAAGCTACTAGATATTGGGGGAAACCCATTACCTGATTATATATATATATATCTTAATATATGGGGGAAACCCATTACCTGATTATATATATATCCCATTATTATGGTAACTTATGTTCCTTAACAGCAACCCAGCATCTCCCCCCAGTACTCTCCCCACGAGTTCCTCACGATCCAAAACATGCCATCCTTAGGGTCGGTGCCCCATCCAACCACGGACACGACGTGGTCAACGCCCTCGCCCTTCGTCTTGATGATGCCGGATTCATAGTTGAGCAGGGGGTTGGCGTCAACGCCGCAGGAGATGGGACCACGATGGAAGATCTCCTATAAGGGATTAGGGATTATAGGGGATGCATTGGGATAAGGGAAAATAAAATGGAAACTACAGGGATTATGCAGGGATTATATATGAGACCCCGACGGAAGCTCTCCTTCATCATGGCATCTGCTCCGCTGATGGAGCCATAGTCCGAGATGGTGGCGTTGGGGAACTCGCCAAGCCCAGTACATGGCCCACCCTCCTGCGCTGGGGAAGGGTTCAGGATTTGGAATTTAAGGTTTAGGGTTCAAGCTTTGAGTACCCTCCCCAAAACAATCCCATATAGCTCCGCGCAAGAGGACAGTAGTCTATGTAGGGCCGGTCTTCAGTTCCCACGTTCATTGGATAGTAGGCAAAAAAAAATCCCACAAAACGAAACACTCATGCGCTGAAGAACGACCAAACGAGATGTTGGTGCAAACTCGCCTTCAAACTTCCAAGACCCTCCTTAAGGTCGTGGGGCAGTACCTGGACCCTCAAAGTTGGTAAAATCATAGCCCAAAACACCTAAAAAATAGCACAACGAGCCACTATTCTACATACTTTTGGGGTGTAGGTATAGGTACTTAGACCAGAACGGGAGTTTTCCTACCTCGCTCCTGGGAGAAGCTTCCGCAGGTGCGGGCAACATTGAGTGCCTTGCACGACGTGTCGACGTACTTGCAGAAACCCTCGTCTGAGTCAGAGGTGCATGCCACGTAGGGATTGGCGGTCTCATAGCTGATTCCCGTGCCCTTCTTGGAGATGTCCATAAGCCACTGGTAAGGGCCATCAACGCTGCCTCCCTTGCAAGTGCCCACTCCACCGCAATTCCTGGGCTGCGTGTGATGAACATAACCCTAATGCGGCAAAAAACATTATCTACTCTCTGTATACATCTATTTTCACACGTTATTTCTTTGAATCCCTGCAAAACCAAAGCATCCACTGCATTGACCATTTCCGACTTCTAGTTCAAGTTGCCAAACAGCAACCCAGATTCAGCAGGTGTTGGACAGCAAGGTTGATGTCAACACCTTGGGCATTGCGGGCAATCTTGATTCGGTCGCCAAGAGCCGAGATTGCCCCATGAGCCCAGCAGGAGCCACAATACTGGGGAATGTGCTGATTGCGCGACATCGTGCAATAGCTCTTACCATCCTCTGTAGTCCCCTATAGACCTATAATAAACACATGTTTGATAATTCTTTAGGGATATACACCATAAACCCTAAACCCCTCTCGTAAAATGAAAAAATGAAAAGTAGACCGCAGTCCTTGTTGCACCAGCTGAAATCAGAGGGGAACTCCGTTGCTTCCAGAAGGTCGTGAGAGCTCTGATGGGTCGTGGCATTGCCACGCCACACGATGCCAAGCTTCTCCTGGGCATTACCACAGGTTTAGGGTTTAGAGCCTGGGAATTTCGAGCACGCAAGTTACCACAGGAAGGACACCGCTTTTTAAGCAGCCACTTTGTACCCTAATTCGTGTAACTGGCTTCACATCCTTAGGCCCTTAGGTAACAGCAGTTCTCGTGACTTGAAGGTCCACAGTACGAACATCTAGAGCCTGGAAGTGGAGTAGTCTCCAGGCTGTCCACACCCGCTACCCCAACTACGGATTAAATTGTTCAAGCCTTGGGCCCCAACCCCTCCAGATTATATATTGATAATGGAAAAGAACATG